TAAGCATGTTTATTTTACACATTTATTTTTTAATCCATTTTCAAATTATTTCAAATTTCTTAAATATTAAATAAAATTCTATCGGCTTTATATTGGCCACCCTGCTTTCCAAGATATCGGCATCGGCTGTCAAAAAAACAATATCGGTCGACCACTAAATCTAAACATGAAAATATGTTACGTAATATACTATTGTTTTGTTTGGTATGTACTTAAAAGGATAGTTCACCCAAAAATGAATATTTGATGTTTATCCGTTTACCCCCGGGGCATCCAAGATGTAGGTGACTTTGTTGCTTCAGTAGAACACAAACGAAGATTTTTAACACAAACCGTTGCAGTCTGTCAGTCTTATAATGGAGGTGAATGGGAATCATGGCTTTGAGAGTAAAAAAAAAACATACACAAACAAAACCAAATTAAACCCTGCGGCTCGTGACGATACATTGATGTGTAAAGACACAAAACAAATTACGAGCTACCATTGACACTCCTAATTGAGACTGTAGATAGAGTGTCAATGGTCCATTTGAGAGATAGGTGGCGGTAATGCATAAATACTGTTCAGTTTCTTGCACAGACCGATCGTTTTGTCTCTTTACACATCAATGTAGTCACGAGCCGCAGGGTTTAATTTGGTTTTGTTTGTGTGTTTTTTTTACTCTCAGAGCCATGATTCCCATTCACCTCCATTATAAGACTGACAGACTGCAACGGTTTGTGTTAAAAATCTTCGTTTGTGTTCTACTGAAGAAACAAAGTCGCCTACATCTTGGATGCCCTGGGGGTAAGCAGATAAACATCAAATTTTCATTTTTGGGTGAACTATCCCTTTAAGATCAGTTGTGTGTGGCAGAGGGTTTGCAGTTGCTCACCCACTGTAAAAATAAGAAACACTGGAACAGGTCTGTGAGTTTCCCCTGTGGTCAAGTTCGTTACCCGGGACATTCCTGTAGCGTGAAAAGGGCCACAACTTGACTCTAAGCTGTGTAAGCATGGGATTGCCGGAGGAAACGTTGGCACAAAACATACACGTGATGGACAGCCAGGAAGCCAGTTCTCTGCACGCTTTTCCTTTTGTGGCCTACGGTCAACATTGGCTTGATTATGGTTAGTCACAGGATTGGGTGTTTCTGCGTGCATGCGTTTCAATTCTCCCTCAAGAACAAGAGATAAAATGGTGGCAGTTACGATCACTCTCCATCAGAGCTTCTCTAAAACAGTGCACTGCTACATTTACAATAGTTAAACTACAAATCAAGCTACTCTTCTGAAAAAGTCAGCTACACTACAAGCTACTAAAAAAGTAGCTACCATGCATTTAAGTACTTATATCATCTTTTTTCAAATATTTTTAAATATATAACTGATCAGATTATGTAATTTCAAATTTCAAATCGGAGGCAAATCTTCCTGGACCAATAACAATGAGGTTTTTTTATATGTATTTTTTTTAATGAATGAACAAAATCTCAATAAGGGAACTCAAAAACCCTTAACATTTCAGCAATATTGTTACATTTAAAATTCTTTGTTCAGACAACTGTGCTTAAATTGGAACAACATTTGGGGGAATTCCAATGTCTAACATGGATTTCAGTGAATTATGTAGTAATTCACATTTCTTACTATTAATGACTCAAAGGGCCCAGTAAAATGGAAAATATAGGCTTTTTTAACAGCACATAAACGATAATGCAGAGTTCAGCAGCATCTTTAGTTAGTCACTCGCACACACCACCATTTCTCTGTCTCTGAGGGTCTCGATGAAGACGACATACGCTGTCATCATGTCTCAGCAGGCTTTCAGCATCACACTTCAACCCCACCCACCGCCCACTCTCTTTCTCGCCCCCCCTCCCCCCCCAGTGTTTCCCGGGACAGTGTGAGCGGCAGTACCATAACTGCCGGTGTGAATAATTCATAATGCATTGAGAGGCAGAATCTGAGAGTTTAATGCAGTGTGTGAGTGAGTGAGTGTGTGTGTGCTGAGCCCCCCTCCATCGGGGACCTCTGTTCATCTGTTCCACACCTCCGCCCCGTCAGGCAGAGGGACGGTAGGCATGAGGCCACAGGCTAAGTGCTGTCACAACCTGTCCGGCAATGTTCAGCTCTTCGCCGACAGGACTTACGCCGTGTATCAGATAACACGCTGATCCTGTGCACTCGCATATCTGCCCGAATCACTCGCATCAGTGTATTCATCACCTGAAAACTCAATCACAGCGCATCAGTATGCGTCAGTGGTGAGCGATAACTCACGTCCCTCACTGGGGGCCTCGAGGAACAAGAGGCTTGTGCGTATCTACTGCAAACTAGCATACAAGTCACTCTCATCACAACAGCACTCTGAGTCAAAGGAGACAGCTATTTAAAACGGTCAACGACTGTTTCTCCCTCTTTCATCTGCATCATCTTCTCGTCTCCCACTGGATCTGCCCTCGATTCGGTTTCTTTTGAAAACGTACGTGGCGGCGCAATCTGTATATTCTGGCTCGATGGTTGGGAAGAGCCTGGGATTACGAAAGTTTTTGTGAAGCGTGACGGCTCTTCACACATCAGTGTGGCATGCGGTGCGCTCCCTGGTCCCGGATGAAACAGGCTGGTCTAAACGGAGAGGGGAGGGGCAGGTGTGAGGGGAGAGGAAATGGCACAGGTTCCAGAGCTCAGGGGATTGAATCCACCTCCAAATGCCACCCGGTGTAAAGGAACACAGCCCAGGGCCTCGGAAAAGAAAGCAAACGGACGCGGACCTGTGTAACATCTAAACAGAATTATAAGGGTATCAGGGCTGTGACAACGCTTGTGTGTGAGGGCTGCAGTTTCAGCGTTTCACAGAAAGGTCAAAAAGCTCTGTAAAAAGTGAATGATTCAGTGAGGCCCTTTAGGTTAGATGCTTGCTCAGATACGGTCTCTTCATTTCATTAGTTATACATCAACCACAGTCTGGGGAAGAAGGAAAAGAGGCCTTTGGGAGGGAATCCACTGTGAATGACTCCGCTGATGATGATTATTTTCCTGCTGTCTGTGTTGTTTAGCACCTGCAGGAATTTTGCAAATGGTAATGGCACAAAAAAAGGCTATTTCAGGGAAGCAGTGTCATTTTTATAGCCTTTTTTGTGATAAAATGTGCCCAGACAATGGCTGAAAGAAAAGATTGCAAGTGAAAGAAAAGATTTCTAGACAGGATCTTAAAATTAAAGGGAAAAAAGTCCAAGCTACAATTAGCCAGTGCCATGATCACTGGAAAATGTACACAAACATGGCTTTTCAATAAGCCTTCATTTACTAGAAATGAACCATTCTGGTTCAGATTCTAATTATATATGACGATTTTAGCTCCCTCATGATTCGAATAATGTTTTGATTAACGTTTCAATTATGAAGTTTTTTTTTTTTGTATCAAAAGTTATAAAAAAACATTACCAAAAATCCCTTTTATGACTATTATGAGCATCAATTTATATAAATGATAACTCATGAGTTTGAGACAGATTCATGAATCATTTGGATTTCATGTTTCTCTTTCACCATGAAAAAAATTAAAGTAATGAAAATCATTCAATTCAGTATTTAAGCACATATAACAGCAATTTATATAAATGATAACTCATGAGTTTCAGACAGATTCATGAATCATTTGGATTTCATGTTTCTCTTTCACCATGAAAAAAATAAAGTAATGAAAATCATTCAATTCAGTATTTAAGCACATATAACAGCCTCCCTTAAATTACTCTCAAGGGCATCAATTTACATAAATAGAGACAGACTCTTAAATCTTTTTGAATGACACTGAAAAAATCAGTTCGCTAAAAACAGACAAATCAGACAAAACTGGTCAGGCTCTTGTGAAAACCCATTATAATGAAGTTGTTGTTTCGTTGTTTCTCTTTCACCACATTCAATGAAAGAATCATTAACATAAT